ATTTTTTTGGACTTAGTTTTTGCTATGAATCTAGATATATGCTATGTCTTTTTTTTTAGATTAGATATGTGCTATATCTAGATACATAGATTTTACTATATATGTATCTAGAAAAGCTACAACGATATTTTATAATTTAGAATGGAGAGAGTACTAAAATAATAGCATCAGAAACCTATGCCGACTAAGTAACTTTAGAAAGATGTCAATTATATTTGTAATTGTCAAACCTTAAAGACAATGTGATGGCACACACATCCTAGCTAGGACGCAATTTGTTTTATCAGTAGTATTCATGTAGGTCTTTGAGAAATTGAAATCATGCAACGCATACAAACTGTGCAGAGTAATGATAGCTGAACTTCCACTCATGTTGCGAATGCAATACTAACCACATAGTTTATGGCACAATGCACACTGTCCAGTCGCTTGGCAGGCCTGTTGCCTTACCCTGTTTGCAGTCTGTATGGCCGGCAATAAGGCGTGTTTGGTCGCCTCTTCTAAATTTTAGTCGATGTCCCATCGAATGTTTGGACACATGGAAAATTAAATATGGACTAATTACGAAACTAATTGCATAGTTTGCGATTAATTTGCGAGACGAATCTTTTAAGCCTAATCAGTCCATGATTTGACAATGTGTGCTACAGTAAACATGTGCTAATGACGGATTAATTTGGCTTAAAAAATTCGTCTCGTGGAGTACTGACGGATTATATAATTTAGTTTTTTTATTAGTATCCGAACACCACATATAATATCCTCCCGACACACCTCCTAAATTTTACTAACTGAATACAAACACCACCTAAATATCGCTCGTTTCACTGTCCATTACTCCATCAGTCGCTTGCCGGCCGGCCGGATCATGCTGATTTGATTTGAAAGGCGGAATAGAACAAGTGTACGTGCCACTGAAGGATGTATAAAAAGATTCACATGTCAAATACAGTACGCGTACGTGTGTGCTATTCGCCCTAGGCCATGTTTAGTTCGCACTAAAATCCAAACTTTGGCACTATGCAAAAAGAAGATTTTCCGTCACATCAAACTTGCGGTGCATGCATGGAGTATTAAATGTTGACGAAATCAAAAATTAATTGTACAGTTTGATTGTATTTTGCGAGACAAACGTTTTGAGCCTAATTAGTCAACGAATGGACAATTATTACCAAATACAAACGAAATAGTTTGGTTATACTTTGCGAGACGAACGTTTTGAGCCTATTTAATCAACGATTGAACAATTATTACCAAATACAAATGAAATACTACAGTGCCCACTGCCCAGGGTCAGACCCAGGCACGGCACTAAGAGCTTGTACCGGCCAAGTAAGCTCGGTGGCCGCGCTTTCCTGTCAATGCCAACACAACGGATCGGACCAACAAATGAACTAAAGACGTACGTACGGCATGATGGGAGAATGAAAACGATCGAAACATGCATGCATATAGCCGTCGTCATATATGCATCGACCACCGCATGCAACACACTAGCTAGTCTTCCGGCCGTGGCTTCGCTTCATTCGCGCTAGTAGCTAGTGACCACACCACCACCAGCACGTACCTCCGGCACGGCCACCGGGAATAGTGTGGCCTGGAAGACACGTAGAAAGCGCGGGGGCACGCGGCGGCGAAATGCATGGAGACGACGGCTCTGGCTAAAAGCATTTGTGCCAGGCCAATGCAGAGGCGGCTGTGTGGAATATATGCAGGTGCAGCATCATGTGCCTTGCCTACTCTTGCGTGCGGTGCGGGAACGAACAAGTGCGCCACACCCAATATATAACGAACAAGTGCACAGCAGTGTGGCCACCGGGAATAGTGGCCTGGAGCCTCACTGCCCAACGCCGCCGGCCGCCAACGGAGCCGAGCAAAGCTTGGTTAAGAGCAGAGAAAGGTGAGGGAGGGAAAAGCTGCCTTTTTTAGCACCGCTGCGGGCCGCCACCGTCGCTCACCGAGCAGAGGGAGGGGTGGCCTGGACAGAGCCCTAGGCGACAATAGACGAGCCCCCCCCCCCGTGGTTGCCCTGCAGACGACGCAGGGTTCAGCCTAGTAAGGCTTGGTTAATAAATGAAATATACATTTCGTATCTTTGTGGATGGATTATCATTACAGTAAAACACGACCTTTTGCATTTAGTTTCAAAGGAAAGCATATATCTGTGTGGAAAAGTAGATGCATTTGCATATATATGACATGAAAGGGAACAGCTACGTACAAAGCATGCCGGCATGTCGAACGAGCTCCAATCTCGCCGTCATCTGCGGCTGACCCGTTGCAATCTCAGCTAGCTCATCATCACGCATATCACTCATCAGATGTGGATATATATGCTGCACGCGATTCGGTCTGCTTTTTGTCGGGCCGGCCGGGTGGCATTTGCATATGAGGTGCTTACACCTGGAAGGCACGAAACGCACAACTAGCTAGCTGTGCCGTGCCGTGCCACCTGTCGTGCCCGGGGTCAGGCCCAGGCACAGCACTAAGAGCATGTAACCGTGTCGTGCCGGGCAGATAAGCCTGGTGGCCGCGCTTTCCTGTTAATGCCAACACAACGGATCGGACCAACAAATGAAATCAAGATACGACATGATGCATGGGAGAATGAAAACGATCGAAACATGCATGCATATAGCCGTCGTCATATATATACTCATATATGCATCGACCAATGCAACACATCAGTCTTCCGGGCGTGGCCTCGCTTCATTCGCGCTAGCAGCACCTCGCCTGCACACGGGCGGGCGGTGTGCATGGCCACCGGAAGACACGTAGAAAGCGCGAGGGGCACGCGGCGGCGAAATGCATGGAGACGACGACTCTGTGGAGGTGGATGGATGGTGCGTGTGGTGTACCTGGTATATGCACTACCTGCTGTCTGCAACGAATGGATCGAGTGCTGCATTCTCTTCAATTTTGATCCATCCCATTCACATGTGTATACGTGACGTGCGTCGTTCTTATATTATCGGATCGGAGAAGAATACGTGCACAGACTACAGAGAGCTGCACGCAAGCATGGACTACTCCATCTAAATGCACCGGCCGGCATGCTAGCTTCTGATGTTTTTGTGCTGGCAAGCTGCTAAGCATTTGTGCCAGGCCAACGCAGAGGCTGACTATTGTGTGTGGAATATGCAGGTGCAGCATCATGTGCCTTGCCTACTCTTGCGTCCGGGAACCAACAAGTGCAACATATACCCGATATGATACCTAAGCTTCAGATGCATGCATACTTTCACGCACTTAGCTCGTGAGTATGCATGCATATGCATGTTGAGTGCGTGTGCTAATAGATAGTCTGTTGTATTGGTGAGCCAGCTAGCAAAGCTTTCTGGGTTCTCCTGGTTTGGCCACGGCCAAATGAGTGTGTCTGTGTCCGATCCACTACGTACGTACTTTAATTTGTGGCGTCCATGCTGATTACTTATCACGGATGATGGACCGCAGGTAGATTGATGACCATTCAACGTACGTACAAATATGTGCTAGCTTTTGTCCTAATTCCTATGAGACGGATCGCTGAGAGAGATGATCAAGCCTGCTTGTGGTTAGCATTGTGCTCGACGACCATTCAACGTCGTACAAAGTAGTTAATGCTTGTCGCTCGTGTGCGTGACATGTAGAGTATCCAGCTATTTTTCTGGTACACGCCTTTTAATCATCTTCAGCAACACCCCTACTTGACCCTCTACTTTCAATTTGAGTAGTGGGGGTAAAAAAATCTACTCTAGCAGAGCCCTACTACACCCTCTACTTCTGTTGGACCTCACTTTTTCCCCCTCACCCCTACTTCTGTTGGCCCCCTACTCCACTCCCTCACTCCACTCCCTCTTCGCTGTTTCTCTTCCGCACTGCGACCAGGCGATGGGTTCCGCCGCCCCACCAGTACGTGTCTCTCCCCTAGGCTCGACGGCCCTATCGATGCTGGCGCGGCGGCCCCTCCTTCCCCAGGCGCACATCTCTGGCGCGGCTGCCCTTCCCCGTGGTGGCGTCCCTCCCTGACACTGCACGCCGCGGCCGGAGAGGCCCTCACCAGTGGCGGCGCCCCGTGACGGAAACTAAGAAATCCTTCCATTAGTTCCAAAATGCTTGCTGTTTTTTGGTCTCGTCCTATGATAAGCTTTTTTAATTCTGATCGAACATGTAAAAAAATGTTTTAGTATCAATGATGTCTTCTAGCTAATAAGTACAATATATCAAGTCGTACGTAGATTCAGACGACAGCCCAAGCCAAATCTCGGCCCAGTCTTTGTGTATCAAGCTTAGAAATCACCGTAACTATATTCGCAGTCACTACCAGCATGCCACGGAGAGCGAAACACCGGCCCACTTGCCTAGGCGACGGCGCTGGCGCACTGCACAGAGATATATAATAGAGAAATTTAGTTCCTTGGCCTAAAAGAAGTTTTTGCTTAGTTTCTTAACTCTTTTTTGATTGAACTTGCTTATCTGGCCCTAAAAATTCGTTTTGGTTATTGGCACTTCCGTTAGTTTGACGAAGTAACGGTGTTAAAAGCAACGTGAAATTGCTCCTTTACCCGTGGCGCCGAATGCAACAGTACAGCAGCCCATAGAGTGTCATACAGGTTTTTCAGGCTGCCTACTATCAATAATATATATAAAAAATAATAATTTCATGCTTGAAAAAAATATATATAAAATAATAATTTCATGTTTGAAAAAAAATGTACATTGCATTAAAGATTTAGAGCTCAAAAGTGGGCTAAAGTGATCTAAAACTTTTAGAACTCTAAAGTTTAGAGGAGGGGATCAAACATGCCCATAACTATTAGTACATGTCAGCTAGCTGTATTTAGCTAATCACCAATTCTGAAAATAGTGTAATCTCTAGCTTCAAAGAGGACAGAAATTCCATGCTTTGGGCATCGCAACGCTATGATGGGCTATTTGGATGTAATGAAACAAAGCCTGTTTAATTTATGGCAAGATTGGATAAATCCTGCTGAAATTATATGTTATGTATTATTGGGCAGGTCTCTACGCTGATGGGGATAATAAAGTAAGGTTGCTGGGAGGTGTGAACGTCATGCTACAGACTGCATCGAAGCTTCTTGCTAAACCAAGTCAACCAAAGGTGGTGATGAAGCAGCTGCAGGATGTTGAGTATTGAGGAGAGGAAGATCAGGGACTTGACAGTGGTGCCCGAAGACGATGACCTAGCTGTGTTTTTTGTGTGGCTCTGAATGAGTTAATGTTGGTGAGACTTGGTTGTAAGGTGGATCAGCAGCCCACAATATTTGTTGCTTTTGGCCTCTGCTTGTCCTGCTATGTCATCTGAATCAGATGGCTACAGAGTACAGGGGGCTGTCAGGTTCGGGTCTTAGATCTGTTTTCATTTCTTGGAGTGGCTCTTTGGACTATCTTTAAACTGTTGTATTTTCATTTTCTGAGTAATGGAAATGGGAGTGTCATGGTTAATAAAAAAAGTAGTATTGAGTTAATGGAATAACAACTAGCCAAAGACTTGGCTAATTTTTAGCTCACCCGTTAGCCCCCGGCCCATTTAGATTACCTAGAGAGCTATTTTTTAGCAGTTAACAATAATTAGCCCTTGTGTCAAACATATCCTAATAAACTAATAGCTACTAGTTCTCCTAAAAAAACTAATAGCTACTAGTTGGAAACATTATTGTTCATGCTGCTCACTACACTACTACTATTATAGTATGCTTTGGACCCCAACATTTCAAATTCCAAATGGAGCTTATACCATGTAATGTAACTCGGTGGTCGTAGCATTTCAAAAAAGTTGAGATGCAGTTCTGTCGATCCCACCTTTGTGCATGCCATGATCACTAGGCCGGTATGGCTTTTTGCTCAAAAAAAACATAAGAATTTCCACTGCCACCAATATATTAATGATATGCTGCGGGTCCGGCCCTGACGTTTCGGCATAACATACCAAAGTGACAATATCTAAAATAGAGTGCATTTGTATAAAAAAGTGTCGTTGTGGAGGACCCCCACACCACCTAAGCAAAAACCATGATACCCTACTCAGGTAAATGACATATGCGCAGTGATATCATTTTCAGATACCTTCTTCGGAGCAGATTCTTCCATTCATATGCATGGAAATCTAGATTTATTGTAATTTGGGGACGGGGGAGGGTGGTGGACAAAAGCTCAAAGGTAAAGTGTCCTCCTTTCCCGGGCACCTTTATTATATTTTCTAGCTTATTACACGTTGATCGATCCTACTGGCCACTTACCGGCAGTGACATCGTGTCATCACCACAGATCAAGTGATTAAGCATCAGGTTTTCTAAATCCATGACTACCAATCATTCCCTCCATTGGGCGTGCACTACTGGAATCTCGCATTTTTCTGTGTGTGCGAAAACACACAGAAAAATGCGAATACCGTCAGAAAAATATTTTTCTGACGGTGTACCCTCATAAAAATACCCACAGATATATAATGACAGAAAAATTCAATTGTTCTGTGTGTTCGCCGTCAGAAACAATTTTTCTGTGGGTGTTACACGCACAGAAAAATTACGTTAGCTCAGATTAAATTTAAATATTGTGTGCGTTGATCCTCACAGAAAAAAAAGGCCGACAGGAAAATGATTTTTCTGTGGGTGTTACACGCACAGAAAAATTGCGTTAGCCAGATAAAATTTAAATGTTGTGTCGGTCTCGGTTAACGCACAGAAAAATAATAGACCACCGTCAGAAAAACCCTTAACCATGCAGCAAATTGGATACAATAATTATATAGAAATAGAACAGTAGCAACAACATATTAATTATGGACTGTCCATACTGTAATTTCATCACAACATAATCAAATTAACAAACATTGATTCATTCATGTATTAGCAAGTCAGATGTCTTTACATAGATATAGCACATACACAGATAGTTCAATGCTCAACAAAAGGTATTGTATGTCTTTATAACAAGCCATTTGATGATGATATATGCAGTAGCTACACGTATAACCATTCATCTCCAATCACTCTCTGCATAGATTTGTCAATGTAGTCTCTATATAACTGGTGCAAACATTCCATAATTGTCCTTGTCTTCCGGATAATGCCTGCAAAATAGAAGGATTAGATGCTATGGCATATCATCATCTAACAGAAAATGATGCAAATCAAGCAATGAAATTCTCGAACTTCTATCATTTGGGGTGAACCATAAAAAATAACATGTATATATATGATACAAGGCAGCCATATTATCATCATCTGATAGAAAATGATGCAAATCAAGCAATGGAATTCTCGAACTTTCAACATCTAGGGTGAACCATAAAAAATGACATGCATATATATGATACAAGGCAGCCATATTATTGTGCTACAGTTGACTAGAAGATGAGTTTGTACTAGCAAACAGCTAGTATCCAATACACAAACACAGCTCCTTAATATGAATGCTTCAGTCATGTGAGAAAACTGAAGAATGAGAAAGGATATTCTCACCTAAGCAGATAGGGCATTGAACCGCCTTCCATATCTCTTCTAATTTCACTAGCATAAACCTGAGAGAGACAGAACATTTCACTATAAGCTTCGGACCATGAAAAACATCAAATATTCCAAAGTCCAAGAACCTGAATAATGAGCTTCAATCTATGTAGAACAGTGAGATACAGGTAAATATAAACAAATGTAGAATCTGTTTTTGTACTGTACTTCTAGTAAGGCAGTGAGATGCACCAGTAAGGCAGTAAAGACTTGCTTGAGACTGAAGCCGAGAAGTAGAATATATATTTCACCTTATGAATTTCTAGAGCATGTGCATTGCCGATTGGAAAACATGATGAGCATTACAAGTCGGATATATTTGCTTGCTTGCACAATTAAAATGCATATGCAAACAGCAGCTACAATGAAAGGGCCAAGGCAAGAATGTGCACAGACTATGCATGGCTGTTGTTGGCATGGTGAAGCAGTTCATGCCTGTTATTTTTCTAGCTACAATGAAAGCTCAGTGTTAATCTCATCAGCAGGAGCAATTGAACTTGTCCTTGATGCCTACAAAAATTGCACCAAAGGGTCAGAACAGCCTTTTTCTTTTCGACAACACATAATGTCATAAAAGTCGGAGTACAAAATCAAACTTCACTTACCAGGGCAATGGTTCGGGGTTTCTTAGAATTCTTACTCTTCTTATTCTCATCCATAAGACATGCCCTCTTGTTACTTGTAACTCCACTAAAAATTGGAGCAAAGACCTGACATGGATCTATTTGCCAACTCAGAGTACAGAACTAAAGAAACTAGAAAGGGTGAGCAAAAGTTATCTGGGTTGAATCAGATGCAACCTCTTGGGTAAAAAACACACGGAAGGTATCAAAGGGTGAGCCGGCGTTAGAAATCATTGTTGAAAAAGATGATGCTGTAAGCAATGGTGATGCCTGGAGGACAACAATTGATGCCTGCTTACCTGTACTTGACCTCATTGACACACGGAGGTCTATTCCATATGGCATTCAGCAAGTGAGGGAACTTATTGGCATCTCATGTGCCTTCAATCAAGTGATTTGCAGTGTTGCACACAGTAAAAAAGGTGGAATTAGAAAGAAGCATACTCCTAATACACTAAAGCCTATATGCAGTGCTGTGTAAAACACTAAAACAGTCATATATGGTCGATCAAAGAACTATATGACAATGACCAAACTAAGACTAAGTTCATTCAATCAAAGAACAGAGATTAACTCTCAAGTCACAAGCCAGTTTGATTTACACACAATGCCATCTACTGAGAAACAACAAGGATTATCCTCTGACCAATGAGTTCATCATTTTCTAAGTTACAGAAATTATTTCACACAGAACCACAGAATAGCAGTGACATGCTTAAGCAAGTTGCTTACCTACTCCTTTCGACAAAAGTATTCCAAGTTTAGCTCTAATACTTCCAATGCTACACAAAGATGAAACTGTGTCAGGCTTCATAGGCATAGGATTGCAATGAAGTGTACAAAATTATAGGCACAATACATTATCTTTTACACTTTCGGGAGTAGAGGACCTAAGTACATTACCTTCCATTTGGCCATTGGCAATCCAGTTCTGATATAGTATCCCGTGTATTGGGTGTAGAAGCATGACTACTAAACAACGGCCTAGCTTTGCAGGTGAAAAAAAATCCTAGAGAAGCTAGGTGGCTATTACAGAAGCATGACTGAAATACGGCCTTGCTTTGAAAGTTGTCATAAAACATAGTTTTGCAATTCAGTTAACCAAATCAACTTGGATTATAATTCCTGGCCGATAAAAACATGCTTTAAAATGTTGGTATTTGGTAAAAAAATGTATTAGTCAAATACTAAAAATAGGATAGTACAAATTTTTCAACATGTATTGCTCTGGTAAAAAAATCAGTACTAGTTATATGAACAAAATTCAATCCACATCCTACAGCATACACATGGGATTAGATCAGATCTGTTCTGAATACACATAACCAAATAGCTAAAATTAGGGTTCGTTCTCAAATTTGCACAAAAGGGAAGAGAAGGAACATGCATACCTGGCTTGTGTTGTGGGTGCTTGTCATTGGCAAAGGGCTCACCTCGGCCACTGGAAGGAGGCTGCACTCGGAGCTGCAACTGCCCTGATGTGGTTGCGCTTGGAGCTGTAGATCTGGACGTCGGGCTGAGAAGGGGCTCTAGATCCACCATGCTCGGGAGGGCCCACATGCCGTGAGTGCTGTGCTCGGGAGGGGCGGTGCACCATGAGGGACGCACCCAGGAGGGCTGTGTCCGGGAGGGGCGGTGCGCTAGGGGAGGCGCCTAGAGAGCCACGGCTGGGAGGGGCCGCGCGCTGAGAGGGCCACGCCTGGGAGAGGGACGGTGCGCCTGGAGGGCCGCACCCGCGCGTCGGCCGCGCGATGAGAGGGCTGCGTCCGGCGTCGGGAGGGGAAGCAGCAGAGCTGGGGCGACGAGAAGAGAGCTGGCGGCAGATGGGTGGGGGAGGGCGCGGATCTGCTCGGTCGTCGGCGGCCGGCGTGGAGGTGGTGGCGCCGGATCCAGTCGCCTGGGGGCACGCCCGCCATGGATTTGGCCGGATCCGGGGGTGAAGGAGAGGGGCCGCGCCCGCCGCGTCGATGAAGAGGGAGAGGGAGGAGAGGGAGTGGCGGCGCTGC